CCCCATTTTTGTATTTTTTTTTTTTTAAAATTGTTTAAAAAAAAAAAAAAAAAAAAAAAAAAAAAAAAAAAAAAAAAAAAAATGCAGTAAAGAAGTATGGTCACTGGCTTCTTTGTGGCAGAAGTAGGCAATAAATGTTCCTGATTTACAAAGCTAGTTGAGATACATTTAGCAAACTGCTTTAAATAATCTGAATTAGTATTATGCTGATTGGGAATGTCTGGATATATAAAAGGAATGATTTTATAGAAAATAGAAAAGTAGGTTAGGCCAAATTGAAGCGAGGAAATCTGATTATAATATTGCTTAGTTTCCTTTTTATTGTGGTAAACTCTGTTGATTGTTACCTTTTCCCCCTGTCATCTCGTATGAAATACTTCATGTTATTAGAGAAGGAGATCTTGAGTTCAAACCGTGCACTGTAGTTGCACTTCAAAAAGTGTCATCAGATGTCAGGCCCTTAATATGTTTCGGAATTCTTATTAGAAATTCATATGGAGCCTTTTAATTAATATTTACCCACGCGAGTACCCACTTTCGGAAAAACGGCAAACCAACACTTCTGATACAGAAACTTTCTCTTTGGCAGGTTATTGGAGGTTTAGTTATAGTGATAATGCTTCCCCTAGTTGCACTAACTACCCAATCTGCATCTTATGTGTTCACAAAATTTGACATGGCACCTGAACAAACAGGAGTATCAAGCAAACCTTATGCAGTCATTCTATCATTTCTTGTCAGTCAGTATTCGCTCTACGGATATGATGCTGCAGCACATCTAACCGAGGAGACGAAAGGCGCAGACAAGAATGGCCCGATTGCTATTCTGTCAAGCATCGGGATCATTTCAGTTTTCGGGTGGGCTTACATCTTGGCCCTTACTTTCAGCATTCAGGTATGTCATGTTGAATTTTGGTTGGATTTAAACTTCCATGCCTCTCTCAAGTTTGCCTCATGAATCAAGATTATGGATAAAACTGATCTTGTCAAGAAAAAGTAGATTAATCTGATATCATGTTCTGGCAACTCCATTCTCAGGATTTTGGCTACCTGTATGATACAAGCAATGAGACTGCTGGAGCATTTGTGCCAGCACAGATACTGTATGATGCATTTCATGGGAGGTATCAAAGTGGTACCGGAGCGATCATTTTACTGTTTATCATATGGGGTTCTTTCTTCTTTGGTGGACTTTCAATCACTACCAGTGCTGCCAGAGTAGTAAGTAGTCCTTCTTTTGCACCTATTTCGTTATGGGGTGGCTCCAGTTTTGCCATAGATAATATTCTAAATGATTAATGGAGGTTAAAGAAAAACACCTTTCACACTGTACTATCACACAAGAATTATGTCACTGAAGAGTTAAATAGCACAAGATTATGTGTCTGTCGAAAAGGTGATAGAACTGCTTAACAAATTTTACATAATCTAAATATTATTTTTGTCCTACAAGTGCTTTCCATTTAAATACACATCAATATATCAGTCCCCCCAATCCCCAGAAGAGAAGTACTAATTTCATGTTTCACATTTTTCTATGTTTCCTTTCAAGATCTATTTCAGTGTTTTTTTTTTTTTTATTATTTATTATTATTATTGTTATTGTTATTGTTATTTTCCGTTTACATAACAAGTAACAAACTACACCATATGAAACTGTGAAATGAGATATAGTACTGTGTCTCCATGTGTACAAGTACATGTATCTGCATGCTTGAATCTTAAAAATTATCTTTCATTTCTAGGTTTGAAATTAATTTCCTAGATATTTATTATTCCTGATTTATTTATTTATTTATTCTTTTGTACTGCCATTGCAATTTGGATGCTTTAGGTATATGCTCTATCAAGAGACAAAGGCATTCCATTTTCATCCATATGGCGAAAAGTGCACCCAAAGCACAAAGTCCCTTCAAACGCGGTGTGGCTCTGCGCGGCTATTTGCATTCTTCTTGGACTTCCAATCTTGAAAGTCAATGTGGTTTTCACTGCTATAACTTCCATTTGCACCATAGGATGGGTAGGTGGTTATGCAGTTCCAATCTTTGCGAGAATGGTAATGGCTGAGACGAACTTCAAGCCCGGGCCATTTTATCTGGGGAAAGCGAGTAGACCAATTTGCTTGGTGGCCTTCCTATGGATTTGTTATACCTGTGCAGTCTTTCTTTTGCCAACTTACTATCCAATCTCTTGGGACACATTCAATTATGCGCCTGTTGCTTTGAGTGTCGGATTGGGTCTGATAATGCTTTGGTGGGTATTGGATGCAAGGAAATGGTTTAAAGGACCAGTTAGAAACTTTGAGACGCAAAATGAAAAGGTATAGCATTGCTTAAAGTTTCGATTTTACATACAAAATGTGCTAGCATACTTAGGAAATTTGTTAAGAGTTCTGTTATTCTCTTGGCAGTACTTTTTCCTACTTTTTGTTTTACTAATTATTGTATGTACACTATCTAGTAAGATTCAACCACAATACACGAAAGGAATTTTACCATTTTTGTCACAAGGCAAGGGAAATTATTATCAGTATTTAAGTTTCTGCCAAAATACTTGGATACAGGGAATTGCATGGCTTCTTTCATTGATACATTTATTTATAATACTAGATTAAGCAATATATTAGTTGTTCTTTCAATATAAAGTAGGAATCAGAAAAGATGGGAAATTTCCTGCCATACAAATACGTAAGCTAAGCTAAAGAACTACTTCCCCAAATCTAGAACATGGAAACTAAGGCAGTAACTTTAGGACTACCCCTAATGCGAGAGAGGTGCAGGACAAACCAGTGCTGAACTCAGCTTTCTCAGTTCTTCAGTCCACAAAGTGTAGCTTGAATTCTTTGCCAAAACGTCTTCGGACACCTCTTTAAGTTCAATTAATCCTCGTGCATACCCGTCGAAGTTATTGATATTCTCCCACATTTCTTGCTTGCTTGCATCATTGTCAGTCTGAAGATTAGCTAACCACTCCCATGCTTCCTCAACTCTTGCCCAAAAACACGAGTCTTGAGTCAGACTCGCAAACTTGGTTCTCGAACTATTTTCTTCCTTGTTTGCCCGGAACTCTTTCCACCACCAATCAGAAATTTGGAACCTCCTAGGCCTTCCATTTTTCAAGTACTGTCCTTCAACTTTATGCTTTCCATTTCTGTAATACTCAGCAATGTCGAGCGGCTCAACCAATAGTTTGTAGAACTGGAAGGCACAGACCCATTTGGCTCTCCTGTGAAAATCATACGGCAGTTGATTATTTTGCAACTGCTCAATAATATTATCCCAGAATGAAGCAAGCTTGTGCCTGTTCATGTTAACTTGGTCGCCCCGTTTTGAGGATCCTCTTCGCTTGAATGCGTCATAGTACCCCATTTGATCATCAGACTCGTCGCAGCACATTTTGTACCACTCTATTTGGGCCCTGTAGGGATTAACTTTTGATAAGCTAATAGCAAGCTTAGCACAGTTTAAGCGTGGTATGCGCCCCAATGGCCTTGCGATCTTTAGGCAGTCTTTGGCCAGCGTAGCTACCGGTTCCTACAGGTTAATTCAGCAACAAAATTAAATACCAAAGAAAATTTGCCTCCTTATTAACTTTATACTAGTTATAAACCTAGTGGCATATTTTGTCGGATCATGAATAGTTTTCATTTCTTTCTGGTGACGAAAATTTAGGCAGTGAATTATTTGTGGGAAATTAGTTGTATGACCTCCTAGTCATTTTTTGGATTTCGTCCCTAATGGACAAAGGAGAACCATTTGTAGTTCCTAAACTAGATATCTCACATTTAAAACAAAAAAAAAAAAAAAAAATGAAGAATGATATTAGTACCTGGGAAGAGATTCCTGTGGACTGCAATGCCAGGGCAAGACCTATTTCATAGCTTGACTCGCAATTAAGCTCCTCTTGAAGGAAGTTTGTTTGCTTCAGATACTGTGATGAAACTCGTCGGACATATTCTCCGTATCTGAGATGATCTTCGGTGAAGTCATTCAGAGAGCATGTCATCAGCATCAAATGCATCATCTTAACAACAGATGTTGCATTGTCTAAGCAAATGGCACCCTCTTGTGAACACAACAAGTAGTTTCCGAATGGCCAAAACAGTAAGCCACTTGCAGCCTCTTCTCCGGCTGCTTCTTGCAACGATGAATTCTCAAGAGAAGCCATTATGAATCCCAGGAATTCGGCTTTGACTTGGTCCCCGAGCAGGGCTGCAGCAATAGTAGTAGTAGTAGAACTCATTGCGAAATGCCAATGCTGGAGCAGCAGCTGCATTTGAGTAGTGAGTGTTGCTGAGGGAGCAAAGAGCAGCCTTGGCATGATGTCATGCTTGGACACCACATGACAAAAGTTTCCGCCCCATCTCTCTCGGAGGATGGCTCGGGAAAGGGAATCGTTTCCGAGCATTGGAGATCCGAATGTGATGCACAGGACAGGAGGGGTAACACACACTGATTGGAGATGACATAGGAGCCAAAGTGCTAAAAGTGAGGCTGTTGTTCCTCCTAAAGAATGGCCAGTGATGACTATGGCCTTGCAGTTATCCTTTAGTGCCAATATCTGCATCATATAAAAAAGAAGGAAAAGAAAACAGAAACTAATGTTGTGAGAAACAGTTCACCAAAATTTGAAAATTAAGAAAACTCTAGCTATACTTTTTAGTGCTTGATTATATATATGTTTCTCTACTTCAACGTTCTTAGCCAAATTAAAACTACAGAAACACACACACACACATTTAAATCTCACTATTTTGATTGTTTTTGTTTTTCTTTTCCTAAATAACATGTTGCAATTAGTTTAGCTAAAAATGATGGTACATCATGTAGCTTAAATCTCAATTACTCTCAATTACTAAATGATAAAAAGACACTATTTTTTGACTGAAAAATTTCAATGGACCTGATCGTTCTCTCTATCATCCAATGATTAATAATTAAGGTGCATAGTATAAATTTTTATGAATTGTACTATAACTTATTCCTTCATCATTCAGACCTATGTGAGTATTTGTATATGAAAAACTGGCCCGTTTAGTTCATAGTTTAAAATCAGCAATTTTAATTATGACTTTTAAAATTTAAATTTTTTATGAGAAAAAACACTATAATAAAATTAAAATCATGGGTTTAAACTCATGAAAAAAACCTATGAAACAGGCATACCTACCTAACTTGGTTTCTGGCCATGCTAAAGAATGAGATAAAAAAACCCATGAAACAAGCATGCCTACCTAACTTGGTTTCTGGCCATGCTAAAGAGAGCCGTTTATTATTCACTGTAATACCTGTTTTCAAGTCATTAGTTTATTCAAATGGTTCTCAAAAATGGTTGGACCACAAATTTCCGTTCTAAAAAAAAGAAAAAAAGTAGCTTTCCAAGTAGTCTTTGAAAAGCAAAGCGATGACTTGACCGGACTCAATTTAAATTAAAAAACAAATTTAAGAAATTGGACAAGTTGGCCAGTACAGACAGATAACATAGTGGCCTTTTTGTCTTGACTTGACTACGGCATTCACATTGAAATGCAGTCTTCATTGAAACTTCCTCATATTTATATGGGAATATATATATATATATATATATATATAATTACTTTGCATATGCATAATTTTTTAAACAGTAATTGTCATTTGTTAAAGTCATGCTAACGCCGAGTTTAGTTGGAGCTGACTAGGCCAGTCATATCTTACCATTATTTCCTGAAATTTTATATTGTGGGAAATGCATTTCCTAACCCCATATTTATTTAAAATTAAACATATGTTATATTTAATGCTAAATATAATATAAGTATATTCTGCATTAAATTTGATATTAAAAATAGCATCATATTAAAATATATTCTTTAATCTAAAAATACTTAATTATAATATTCACATACAAAATAGGAGTTTGATATATATACTCGTAAACATCATCCAGAAGTCTGTACGAGTCATTCGAGCTTTTATCATTTTGCTTGAAAATGTAGAAAAAGAGTAGCAAGAAGACTTTGTCGTAACTCGTAACAGAAAAACTTGGGATGGGAACTTTTGTAAAGCAACATACTTTATGGAACTAAAGGACCCTTTTAAAACGCGAAGGAAAAAAAAAGGGGCTTTTACCCTCTTAATTTTAGGAACATGGCCAATTAATCGCTAAATTTTTAATCTTAGCAATTTAATTTTTAAACTTTAAAATTTGTTATAATGTTAGTCACATTAAAAAAGAAGTTAATAATTTAGATGGTTTCTTCCACGTGAATATTTTATGAGGTTAATTTTAATCTTTTTGCATGAGATTGGTTCCCATATACACATCGTGAATGAAAAATTTTTAAAATTGAGAATTAACCTTTTTGAAGGGAAAATTAAGATTTTCCCAATTAAATTTTTTTTTTTCACTTACGATGTGTATATGAAGATCAATTTGATGTAAAAAGATAGTATCCCTAATTAAATGCTCAACTGTCTAAATTTTTAATTTTATTTTTAATTAGATTAACATTTCAACGAATTTTAAAAGTTAGAGAGTCAATTGTTAAGATTATCAAACTCAAAAAGTTAAAGGAGTGTTAAAAAAAAAAAAGCTAAAAAAAAAGACGTTTGTTTTTTCTGCTGAAAAAAAAGGCAGTTTAATGAAAATGTCATGTTAACCACGTTAGGTTTAAACTCCGAAATGTGATCATATGTTATTGTGAATTGGCCCTACAAAGGAATGTAGCAGAGAATTTCATCATAACTGTCTTATGCTCTTTTCAACTTTGGGCTTACCTTTTGAGATAAGAAGTGAAGCTACGGATACTAGGAAAATTAGGAAAAAAAAATGTTGATAAGAAAAAATGAGTTTATACTAGATGAGAAAAAATAAATTATTAATATTTTTTATTTTTAATCATTAAATTTATACTAAAAATTATATAATCTGTATATATTTTTAATTTAATATAATTTTAATATAATTTAACGGTCTAAAATTAACACTCTGTAACACTACCCTATAAAAAACTCCCTAAGAAAAACCTTGTCAATCCCATCACGTCAAGTCGGGTTCTATAATAGCGTGGGTCCCACCCAATTCTAAGCCTAGTTAAACCCGACAGGGTAGAAATAGAGGCACTCATAAGATAGGCATTTTAATCTCGTTCAGTTTTAAATTTTTAATTTAAATTGAGATATAATTTTATGTACAAAAAAATTTAATTATAATAAAAAAAATTAAAAAATAATTTTTTATAAGAATTTTTAACTATAATAAAATTTAAATTAAAATCTCAAATAAATAAAATCAACAAGAGCTTAAAATATACTTTTTTTCTCACATTTTTGCTAGGCTTCCAGTAATTATCTTGTTCTTCTCAAAGGCTTTCTTCCTTTTGTTTTTGCATGGAACTTCACTTTTTTCACAAGTCATTCACTTCAATGTTTAATCATATGACTAATGATTTAAGAAAAATATTAAAAAAAATAAAATAAAGCTCGATACATGAAAATTCAATTATGCTCTATCGCTGAAGATTTTTTAATCTAACTACGAAATTTTCAGTAAGAAAATAAAAAGAAATTACTAGATGCTTTACCACACAACCGAACAAAAAAAGTTGGGCCCAAAACCTTTATCGCTGGAGGTATATTTCAATTTTCGAAGAAATTCAAGAATAAATAAGATTGTGTACCACTTTTGAAGTAATATTATTCATTTCATTTAAGGTGATAATAGATGCTTTACAACTTAAGATGATAAACAAAAGTACTCGTTTCTAGACGTGTTCCAAAAAGTGATTTCTTGTTTCAAGTTGATAAACAAAACTACTTGCTTCAAGGCAAAAAATAAATAAATAAAAAAGAATAAAAAACAAAAAAATAAAAATAAAAATAGAGACGCACAGCTGGCACTCACAAACACATGCTTTTGACAAAAGAAGAATAAGAGCCCGTTTGGTTTATAGATTAGAACTATGTTATTAGAATCATTTTTTATTTACGTGTATTTTTTATGAGAGAAAATACTGTAGTGAATCACGAATCATGATTCGAATCAGAGAACGAATCCCTTTACTAAACGCGCTCTAAAAGAGACGGATTAAAATCACCGGGATTTAACATTTATTCCTTGGCAGAGAAGAGAGAAAGATCAATACCTTATTTTATAATGCACTCATTTCAAGACTTTCTTTATTCACTTATTATTAATGAACAATATTTAAAGATTGTTAATTGATCTATTTGAGTTTTTAATTTGAGTTCAGATATAATTTTATGTGAGAGATTTTTATTGTAATAAAAAATATTAGATGTGATTTTTTATGAGAGCTTTTAACTGTAATAAAATTAGAATTGAAAACTCAAATTGATAAAATAAATGAGGCCTTAAAACATCTTGTCACTAATCTATATGTATTAATATTTTAAATGTGAAGGTCGTAATTGGAACTCAAAATTTCAACTAGCAAATATGAATTAAGGACTGATTATTTGCATTATATGCAAACAAATATGTCATATAAAATACGGAAGAAGGGGAAGAGAAAAAAAGAAGAAAAATTATGGGCTTGTTCTTTTGTAAGTATTCTTGAGTTAAGTTTTTGAGTTGAGTTTGAGTTGAGTTTGAATTATAACTTGAGTTGAAGTTGTAACAGTTTGAGTTTGGTTGTGTACATTTGAGTTATGGTTTGAGATAATAATTTTTTTGAGTTTATGTTTGATTAAGTCAAAACTTGAATTTGTATTTAGATAGTATTTTAATAAAAACTCAATGCTAATGAAAAATTTTAATAGGGTATATGGGTCTAGTTTTATTCGTCTTTTCGTTGTCAACGCATAGAAAAAAATCATCTCAATTAGAATTATAATGAAAAAGTTATAGCATTTTTAAGAATAAAAAAATACTGTTCATTAACTTGAGTTTGAGTTTCTGAACTCGAGTTAAAAGAAAAACTTAAACTCAAGTTTTAGTCCTAAACTCGAATTTAAACTTAAAAAAATATAAACTCAAATAAAATTGTAACTCAAATTATTTTTTTTAAAAATTTTTCACTCAAAAAAATAAACCCTAGTCTTTTTTTCATTTTGTAATCATGGCTTTTATAATAGGTTATTGTAGGTCCATATATCCAATTAGTGTGAACACAATCGACGGTGAAAAGGACAACAAATTACAGTCGCATCTTGTGGCCTAATTGACTCCTAAAATCGAAAATGAAAAAAAAAAAAAAAAACGAAATAAAAGCAGAAAAAAACCAAAATAAAAGAAGAAAAAGATATATTTATGTTCTTAACATTTGTTTTTGATAGAATAAAATCACCGTTTTAATTTTTTTTTTTTTAAATGATCATCAAAATGTAACTGACCTGATTTGTTAAAGTATCTGAGCGATACATGGACATGAACAGTTCCAAAAGGCCGGCGTGGACCATGACCGGATTCCGATAATCTTCGCCTTCGCCGCCGCACACCAGCGGTCCGAAGAGCCCGGGGCCGGCGGTCTCCAAGGGAACCAGGGACGCCCAGTTGGGGTCTAAGATTGAGTGTCCAGTTTGGACGCCGGAGAACGCCAAGTATCCGACGCCGTCTCCCGTTTTCTCCGTCACGAATCCCATCGGCGCCGTCGCGTTGGCGAGGCTGCATAGCCTCCATGACTCGCTCACTAATGGAGTTGACGCCACGAACGTCGCCACCATCTCACTCGTCTCAAACCTGCAATATATATGTGTGTGTGTGTGTATAGAGAGAGAGAGGGTGAGTTTTTATAATTGTTGTTGTTTTCTTTGACTTGACAAGTGTGCTACTTGATGAAGCCTGGAATTAATGTGAGAGGGAGAGAGAGAGAGAGCAAAAATCAACTGAAAACTTACGCTGAAGCTTCGGCCTCCATGGAAACTGCAAAGTCTTTTCTTCTTCTTCTTCTTCTTTGTCTTGGTGGGTTGAGAGTCGCGGTTTGAACCGTTCTAAATATTAGACTGGTCTAGTTTTTCCTTTTAAAGAGAATGTTTTGCGGGATTTTTAAATGTCTATATTAAAATTTACAGTACACCATTAAAAAATTAAGGATAAATTGCATGAATAGTCTTTAAATTTTTTTAAAATGTGACTTTTGTCTAAAAAACTCAAAAAAAAGATAACTCAAGTTTCAACTTTATTTAAGTTCACGTTCTTTTAAGTTTCAACTTTATTCAATTTTACTGAACTTTATTCAAGTTCTAACTTCAACTCAAGTTATAACTCAAATTCAACTCAAAAATTACACTCAAGTTACACTCCAAAAGAACAACCACAGTTTTTAAATTTTTTTTTTGATGAAATGAATCCTAAACTATTTAAAATAGTGTAATATAGTTTTTTTTTTGTCAGATGCCGTCTAAAAAGTAACAGAATAATAATCTAAAAGGGTAACATTATAGTCTTTTACTTTATGAGGTAATTTTTTAGTCTCAATCGACTTTAATAGGTTAGGATTTAGTCTTTATTTTTAGACGGCATTTAACAGAAAGTATGACATTACACCCTTTTAAATAATTTGAGACTCGTTTCGTCAAAAAAAAATTTAATGATCAAACTGTCACCTTTTAATAAGTTTGAAGACTATTCATACTAATTACTCAAAAATTAATATAACAGTAAAAATATAATCTCAACTATTAGAGTTAATATATATATATGAGAAGTTTATTTTTCAAGTTAGAGGATGGGGCAAAATTGCCATTTTATAAGAAGGCTTCGGTTAGTGGCTTTGATACATATGCTTCCTTTTCCAAGCAGCACTGAGTTAATTAATTGATTATAGCAACGACTTATGATAGATATTAACTAAAACTTTATGCTTTCAGTAAATAAATCGCGCCTTCTAGATTTTTTTCCCCTTTTATTATTTCCCCTCTTTTCATCTCTCCGGCTTTTTTCCCCCTGTTTGAGTGAATTTTTATTGGTAGGATTTTCATTTCAACTTCTATTTGCTTTTAATCTTTTATGTCACAACTTATTTGAGGCTGACACTAAGAACTATGGACATCAAAGATCGGTGTTGTGTGGAGCTCCTGCTAGAGCTTGCATTGATGGTGGTTGCCTTGGAGAACACTTGGAGAACCCCGGTAGCGAAGATCGGCGTACCAATTGTCTTCGCATCATTGTGTTAGGTAAGTGACTCAAATTAAATTTGAAAAGTTATTATTTTATGTTTTTGGGTGAGTTACTATTTTTTATTTTTGATTAATAGTTATTAGAAGTCTATAAATAAGTGTTTTGTATAAACCTTTATGTATGCTTATACAGAGAAGTATAGAGAAAGAGTATTTCCTTTTGAGAGAAATAGAAAAAAGTGAGGAGAGAGATAGACAAAGAGGGTAAGGGATTTTGGTTAGAGAGAAAGTGAGAAAGTTGTATAAGTATGTAATTCTGTCACGCCCCCCAAACGGGGTGGGTGACGTGGAACTCGATTTGAGATTAATAAAGTAGATTCCTAACCGTGTCCCACACTTAACTGCATAAAAATATAAATAAACGACATAATCCAGGAGCCTCTGACACACAGGGCTCCACCCCACAGGACATACAGTATCGTACATACATGCACATGTAAATAATCAATTACAATAGACATCATCCACAGTCTAGTAAATCTAATATTAAATAGGTTTACATAATTTCTCAAATTCCTTACATTTATTCAAGAGGATAAACTCAATCATCACTTGATCCAACAGTAGCAACTCCAGCTACCCTGCACCGCTCATCGAGTCTCCTGGGAGGGGTTTAACATTTAAAACATAAAACGTGAGCGAAAGGCCCAATAGGATATAATTTGAAATATTTAAAATAAATGAGCACATGAATAAATGATTAAATACATAAATAAAATAAGACATTCAGTCCCGACAGAACAGCCGGAACCTCACATCCTTTTTTCTCAAAGGAAATATAACTGAAAATAACCATGTTACAGGCTTCAGCAAGTAATTAGTACAAATTACTTACCTAACCAAGTGCCTCGCCTACCCGAACCGGTTTCGAGTTCTGCCCCCGAGGATGCACTCTCCGCATCCTATCTAGGCTTACAGCAATAGACTCTATTACCAGTTCACAAGATCTCTTTGCTTAAGAAATCATTTATTAAACATTTTGTAGCGTTGCCCTTTTCCGGCTTCCGTTTCCTCAAGCCCCTTCAGTCTGAATCAACAGCGAGCACTGATACAAAACGGCACTTTAGGATCAATTCTCAGTCCTAAAGTAATCCAATCTCATTCATATACCAAGATTTCCTATTAGTGTGCCCTAATCAAATTTCATGTTTCAATAATCAATTCCAAGGGTTTTCAATCTCAAACAAGGATTAAAGATGCTAATCCTTTTATCCCAAGTCCCCAAATGAAGCTAATTTGGGTTTTTCTCGAAAACAGGGGTCAAAACAACAATTTCAGGCCAAACAGGGTAAAACCCCGTGTACACCGGTCGACCGGTGATAGAGAAGTGCATCACCACCGGTCGGCCGGTGGTGTGCATCTGGTCGACCGGACCGGTCGGCCGGTGGCCATAACAAGATCCGGTCGACCGGTAGAGAACGCCAGTTCATGAAAACTCGCGAAAATCAGTTCAAAAATCTGCAAATCCAGTCCCAATTCAAAAAATCTCAAGGGACAACCACTAGATCCGGGTTCTAGGTACTAAAACAAGTCCAAAGAACCCAAGATCTCCAATTTCTACCCTAGTTTTACTCAAAATCCATCAAAATCTGTTTTGAACCAAAAATAAGTTTTGAAATCCGAAAAACATAGATTCAAGAGAGGTTCTTTCAGTAATCTTACCTCGAATCCTTCTCTTGACGTTGAAAACTCTTTGAAATCACTCTTGGTTCGAATCCGGTTTTGATTTGAGACACAAATGGGAGAGAGAGAGCACGGAAGTGTGAGAGAGAGAGAGAGAGAGAGAAACGCACGGGAAAGAAAAAGAAAAGGAAGGAAAAGAAAGGAAAAAGAAAAAGAAAAGAAAAGAAAAGAAAAATAAAAGAAAGTGACATGTGTAAAATATAACAGTCCAGAAATGCGCCCATACACACTTCTGGATTAAATAAATTACTGTGAATAATTTAAATACCTTGGAATTATTTAAACTCAATTAATTAAATCAGATTAGGCACACTAATAATCTCAATTACCTTAATTAATCTCAATTAATTCTTCAGGGTGTTACAAATTCTGAAACTCTTAGTGAATTTTCTTCCTCTTTCGTAGATGTAGAAAATTTTTTTGAACCACCTAAATCTTTATCTTTTCTGTTTTTATATTATTTTTATTTCAGTTTATTTTTCTGATATGTGGGTGTAAGGGTGTGTTTTTCCCAACAACTGGTATCAAAGTTGTGGCGAAGATTAAAAAAAAAAAGTCAAGATGATGTTCGGAATAAAGTTGGAGCAGATTGAGTGGTTTGATGGATCGAGTAATTTCAGTATCTGACAGAATACGGTAAAAGATGTTCTGATTCAGCAGGGATTACTAAAAGCACTGCAAGGAAAAATTTATACAGGTCAAAAGAGGTGATTTAGTAGCCATGAAGGGTGAGAAAGTGAAAATTTTATACAAGCTTATTGGGACGACATTTGTAGGTAGAGTTATGAAGGTGGAACCAAGCCATGGAGAGTCTTCTTCTATTGTGAAAGAAGTTGTAGGAGTAAAAGGGTTCAACAAGATGTTGATGACAATTGAAGGGAATAAATACAAGATGGTGAAGACTTATAATAGTGAAGATGCTTTGAAGAAGAAGAGTCAGTTCGTCGTGTCAAGTTTGATGAGAGTTGGAACTTGACACATGTTTATTCTTGTTGAAGTAGCATCGTCGTCACCCCATCCATGAGGGATGGATGATGGGTGTCAAGATTGGATACCCAAATATGTTAGTTGAGAGAATTTGAGTCAATGTGGAGATTGTTAGGTAAGTGACTCAAATTGATTTTAGGAAAGTTACTATTCTGTGTTTTTTAGTAAGTTATTGTTTTCTGTTTATGGGCAATGATTATTAAGAGTCTATAAATAAGTGATTTGTGTAAGCCTTTATGTGTGCTTAAATAGAGAAGTGCAGAAAAAGAGTATCTCCTTTTTGAGAGAAATAGAGAAAAGTGAGGAGAGAGATAGACAAATGACATAAGAAATTTTGGGTAGAGAGAGAGTGAGAAAGTTATATGAGTGTGTAATTCTGAAACAGTTAGTAAATTTTCTCTCTCTTCCGTGGACGTAAGAAATTTTTTCGAATCACCTAGATCATTGTCTTCTCTATTATTTTTGTTTCAGATTATTTTTCTACTGTATGAGTGTAGGGGTGTGTTTTTCCCAACACTTCGTTATCATTTGGGTGTGATGAGTTCGACGCTCCTGTCGAGATAAGGAGCGTCGCCGTGTAAGTACGACGCAAACATTACGTTGTTAGTCTCTTATGATCACGCCGAAGAAGATAGGTGACATTTGTTGAAAATTCAAAATAAGCTAAACAATTACTAGTGATAATCTACCATATTACTATGGAGCGAACAACATCAATTACTAGTCACAGCAATAGTTGGTGATCACAGTTGATCCCAGTTTATTAGGGTAACAAAGTAGATTAACTTTGACTGCTTGGACAATTTGGGTAGAAAACATTTTCTTAAATGTTATTCTTTGACTGATCTTTTGAAGTGACAAAATTTCAAACCTCCCAATAAAAATGATTAAAATCCAAAGCTGTATGCATTCCTCAAGTTTGCTCTTAAACATATAAGTAGATGCCCACTAGGACATAGATTGTATTTTTCTTCCATCCAAATAGAAAGGTGGAAGTTTTATTTAATTGTTATTGCTTTTTTTATTTTTATTTTTATAAAAAAGGTAATTGCATTCTAAATCAGAGAAATACACACACTAATTCAGACGTGAAAGACTTTAACATATTTAGTGATTCAACCCTTAATAAAGACCGAAACCATCAGTAAGTT